TAAGTGTGAGAAGTTTGAAGAAAATCCATGACCATGCGTGCCACACTCCCTATATAAAAGTTTAAATAGTTACAGAGAACCAGTATTAACATGTGACACATGTGGCATTCAGTATGTGGGAGAAACAATGGACAAATTTAATATTCGGCTCAATAACCATCGTTCATGGTACAAAACCAACAAAAACTGTCCTCTCACAAGACATCTTCGTTCAACGAAACATTCTTTTGATAATGTTACCTTCCAAATCATAGAAGTCAACACCGAATGGGACACCACGGCGAGAAGGAGAAGAGAAAATTTTTGGATCCACCAACTCCACACTTTAGAACCTGATGGTCTTAACGAAAAAGATGAGAAAAGATACAGGAAAGATAAAGAATAATTTAGTACACAGCATCGTCCTTTTTATCCTGTAATATTGGCCAATGGACGTTGCTAACTTCAACTACCAATTTTGTAAAAATCTTGAACTTCATCCAAATTATGTATTATTTTCAAGGCAGCTAAATTCAAGTGCAACATATACATTGAGCTGCAAAAGTTTCTTATCATCTACATCCGATTTCACCTGGATAGATGCACGCTTGATAAAGCTAGTTAGTCTAGCGAAATATTGCGTTTATTTTCATCATTTTGTAAATATTTTAAACATTCTTATATTTACATACTAAATAGTGTGTTAAAATTACATTGTTAGGCAATCTATATATATATATATATATATATATTAAACAAGTCTAAATTGAAAACAACGTTCAAACCTATATATATATATAAGCGATTTGGTGCCACGATATCTCAGTAGCATGAGTTCGAATCCCGGCCAGGGAATAACAAAAAAATTGCTTCCTCAAATTTACAGATCTAACATTGTTTGGCTGTTGTTTAGACGAATTATATATACAGAATGTATTTTCAGCCTTGTATCACCATCACTGCTGGTGATCCGATGTATAAAATCTGTTGTAGAGTCGTCACTGGTTCAGACGTACTTATCATATAATTATTTCTGTGACTGCATCTTACATTAATTTGTGGGATCTTTTACAATAGATAATTCAGCTGATCTGTAACAATTCCAGCTTCATGCCTTATATATCATGTACTGTGTTACGACACTAGATAAAAACTGACGAGGAAAGGTTACACCAGTGCACCGAAAGCTTTATTTATATAGAGCCTAGGTGGTCGAGTGGTCTAACGCGTCGGGCATAGTGCAAGGCGATTTGGTGCCACGATATCTCAGTAGCATGAGTTCGAATCCCGGCCAGGGAAGAACAAAAAGTTTGCTTCCGCAAATTTACAGATCTAACATTGTTGGGCTGTTGTTAAGACGAATTATATATATATATATATAGCACAAACAACATTTTCCAAAAGACCAAAAAAGTGAAAAGTATATTTTAACAAAACGCATTTGACTAACAGGTCGACCAACTGATGTTCTTAAACACTGCTGACTGCCATTGACGATTGCCAAATAAATTGATCACCAGATGTAACATGGATCTTATATTTAATCTAATACCAAACAGAACACAATAAACTTGCGAAGAAGATGGTATATCGCAAACATGAGGTGCAAAAATTTGTACACCATATCCGGATTTCGACAATTAATGTCTCTGATCGAAACGGTATTTGGAAGGCCATATAATTTACCTCAATTAAGAATAGACTCTTTAATTTTAAAGAGTCGAAATAGGATGAACGGATCATATAAACCCGAAGGAAAATATAATACAAGCCCAAACGAAAAATATATAAACGTGTCTAAATTGAAAACAACGTTCAAACCTATGAATGCGTTGGATAAAAACCGCAATTTTTATACGTGTGCATGTAAAACAAATTTCTTGGTAGAGGGGTCTAAATACAGCACAAACAACTTTTTCCAAAAGACCAAAAAAGTGAAAAGTATATTTAAACAAAACGCATTTGACTAACAGGTCGAACAACTGATGTTCTTTAACCCTGCTGACTGCCATTGACGATTGCCAAATAAACTGATCACCAGATGTAGATCGCGGCTGCTAAAAATATAGCATAGGGGTAAAATGCTGTTTATTGGTTATATCTCAATAACTAAAGATGAAAGAGCAAAACGGACGGGGAAGAAATTATCAGCAAATCAATGTCTATCTGAGAGAGCATTTTCAGAAAAACAACAGCAATAACAGAGACTTTCAAGTCAGCCAACATGACCTAATTGTCGGATTCCTTATTGAAATGTTGCCCTTAAATGACGATTTCTTTTTCTCATTTTTATAATTTGCTAATTATCTCGAAAAGTTTAGATACTCTATAAGGTTTAAACTGTAAAAAAAAAAGGAAAAATGATCATCAATACAGTATTCACAAAAATGCCACTAAATGTGATTTACAAATAAGCAAACACAGCTGATTGCAAGAAAGGTAAAAATAAATATCAAAATGGCTTATTTTTACAAGGTGAGCGATTCATACTCTTGGGAGCTTCTTGTTTTTAACATAATTTTATCTTTTGAATATAAGGTTGACTTCTAATTATTCGCAGGAATATTGGCATATGCAACGTCTGCTTATCATCAATTATTTTGTTCTAATAACTTTTATTTTATACACATAATAATTATTTCACATAAATGCTCAATTATAAATAAAATGGGTTAGTGTTTAGTTTATTCCAAGCCGAAAGCAGTCTGAAATAAAGGCAACAGTAGTATACCGCTGTTCAAAAGTCATAAATCGATTGAGAGAAAACAAACCGAGTTACAAACTTAAACCGAGAGAAACACATCAACTATGAGAGGAAAACAACGGAACAACATAAACACTGAAGGGCAACAAAAACAAACGCAAATGCAACATACACAGAAACGAATTATTTGATAACAACTGAGTGATCTAATGTGTATTACTTTGTAAATATAAACAACATGTTATAAATTTCGTGCGTCGGAGGCGTTTTTCTGGATTTACCTTCATCCGGAACCCTCAACCCCAAACGTTTGAAAGCCAGTGTTGTATAAATATGTAGGAAAGTTAGGAAATATAACTCATCTAAAAGGGCCTTAATAGGATGGCAAACTTCATCAAAGGTCAACTCTGCCTGAGGGAATTAGAACATTAGTTTACCTAGCATTTCTTCTTATATGTTCTTATTAGCTTGTTTAAAACGTGTTCACAAAAATACCGAACACCAAGGTAAATTCAAAAAGGGGAAGTCCATAAAAACTGACAAAATCAAACAATAGACTTTATCAACCAACGGAACGGATGGAAAACAAATGTCATATTCTTGACTTGGTTCAGGAATTTTCAAAAGAAAAAGGTGGGTTGAACCTGGTTTTATAGCTTGCTAAACCTCCCATCCTCCATGACAGTTGCTTATAGTTCTATTATATTGCTTAATTGGGTGAGCAACCCAAACAGACATAATACTAGGTTAATGTGCCAATAATTGTGATCAAGCAGCCAAAAACTGGGTACACATAAATCACAGCCATACAACATACTGACTAGAAAATTCAAACAAAGTAAAATCTAACAAAGACGCCAACAAAATATTTGTTGAAGTTGATAGCCAATATGACAACGACGCCAACAAACAAGTTTTTGTAGTTGATATTACATACAGTATATATACAATATCTCGATAATGTACAAATTAAGAAAAATATAAAAACAAGAGTAACACAAATGAAGACAACACTGTAAAAACATTTTGCGTCCGAATCGCACCTTTGGATCCAACTACACCAGGAACGCCAAAGACCAAAAATCCAACAGCTGGATTCATGAATAACGAGCCACACGACCATAAGGAACATGAAAGGACAAAAACAAATAAAGGGAAAACTGTAAAGTAAATAAAAAGATACCAATATTTAGCACCTACAATATATAAGTCAAGACCGTCTTGTAATATTTGTGAAGAATATTTGTATATTAGGTTTTGGTATTTTTAGAAAGAGGAAGAGATGTTCTTTCGACAAACCCTATCTCAATAATTTTTTGCTCAGACAACGTTTTACAGTTTGAGTAGCAGATGCAAGCTCTTGAATATCATATGAGTTGAGATATTAATACTATATACGCGAATGAAGTTGGTTTATTGCTACTGAGGTGAGGAAAATTTATGATTTCAAATTTGAAACCGTCTCATTTGTCATAGATTCTGGTATTTAGATTTCTGCTGTAGTCAAACTCGAAATATATGTCTAGAAATAAGGCCGAGGAAGCTGTATCTTTGGTTTCTTTAATCTCAATTTCAGGGGATATATGAATTCATTATAGCATTCAACAATGAGCAAAACCCATACCACATAGTCAGATATAAATGGTCTCGAAATGACAAATGTAAAACAATTCAAACGAGAAAAGTAACGGCTTGATTTATGTACAAAATAATGAACGAAAAACAAATATGATATACAGCAACAAACGACAACCATTAATTTCAGCCATGCGTCCGTGATAACAGCAACGTTTGTTTGGGTCGGAATGATGGGTTTGAGTACAGTTATTGTCTTCATCTGGATGATTAAATTATAATAGTAATCTGATTAAGTGTGTCGTTTTAGCATTGAGAATGTACCCGCCCTTAATAGGCAAGATATACTTGCCGCTGGACTGGTTGCTATTTGTTTACATTTTTCAAGGATGGTTTTCTCCCTGATAAGATATGAATGAAAGTTGTAACATTTTGATATGGAGGTTAACTTTTCATTTTAAAAAGATACAAGAAGATGTGGTATGAGTGCCAATGAGACAACTCTCCATCCAAGTAACAATTTGTAAAAGTAAACCATTATAGGTCAAAGTACGGCCTTCAACACGGAGCCTTGGCTCACACCGAACAACTAGCTATAAAGGGCTCCAAAAATGACTAGTGTAAAACCATTCAAACAGGAAAACCAACGGTCTAATCTACAGAAAAAACGAGAAACGAGAAACAACTCACTTTAGACGCTTTGTACTACAAATCGGATATAATTAACAATGTATGTCATAATCAATTTATTTAGTGAACGGATACAGTTATTAACTCATAATAGTACGTCCCATATATTATGCATACAAAGCGCTTCGGACGCATGAAATTAATAACTTGTTGTTTTTATTTATTTTAAGTTCCAAGTTTGCTTCATTTTAAAGCAAGGTGAACATCCTCATCATCACGGTGTATTTTGTTCATGCCATACCCTCCAATAAATCTGGTTTACGTAGTATATATTAATATCGTTGAAATTTTCTAATGGTAGGAATCGTGTTGACACTAACGGGCTACAGAACAACTTTCCTGAAAGAAAATTAAAAAAATCATTTTTACAAAAATGACTATTTAACCTTAACATGACACTAAGTCACACCTCTTGGTTATTTACTTTTTCACAAATAGATTGCAATATTATGTTCTGCATGTAAACTCAAGAAGAATGAATAGAATAACTTCATATTCCGCTATATAGATGATGTTCCTTCATTAAACAATACACACACATTAATGACATTGTACATTTAGTAGATCGCATCTATCGTACAAATGTTTAATCCTGGTATCTATGATTAGTTTATATTAAACAAACGTTTAAAACTTCCTATCTTTACTTTAATTTAGAAATTGACAGTGAGGGTCGGATGAGACCTAAACTTTACGAAAAAACAAAGTTGTATTTCATTTTTGCCATTGTTACATAATCTTACAATTTCTATGTAGCGATATACATCAGCACCTGCATATGCAGTATATATATAATTTCCTAGTTGATACGAGATTCCAGGGTTTTACGTTTCCTCGATTTACTTGATAGAAGATTGCTGCTTACAAGAAGATTATAGAACAAAGGGTTCTTAATGGTAAAGTTGAATCCATCTCTTCGAAAGTTTTACGAATGGCTTCATGATTTGGTCGATCGTTACGGAATGTGTAAAATAGCGTCAACGAATGCGACCCATGAGCAACACGACTGTTGCAGTTCCCAACTTTTGAGTGGACCTAGAACTACTTACTTTTTAAAAACACATATAAAGTACATTCCCAGTTTTCGGGAGTTTGTGTTGCTTAATGTTAAATTGTTTTATATCCATGATACATCTGGGCGGTTTTCAATTTGCAGTGAGGAGTATGGTTCCTTAGCCTATAATTGCTGAAAGACTTCCAACATTTTTACAAGGATGACCAGCAATCAAAGCGCCTATCTTTCGGCAAGGGAAAATGCATATGGTGTGGATGTATATGATACTAATGATCAATTACTTGGAAATAGAAATGTTTCTAAATGTAGTCATTTCTCGATATTTCTTTGCATTTTAATTTAGAGAAATTACATTTTGTATAATTTCTTCGATATACAGGTAGTTGTTTAGTTCATTTCTGTCGATTTTCTTTCGATTCTTTATATTGTAAATGATCGAACAATTTTGCAATAAACGTTTTATAAAATTGGTCAAATATTAGGTTCAATGGTATGTCCTTACCATGTATACGTATTTTACCAGTATTCTCGTTTAAGCTTTTCTCAGTTCATCTTAACTGCTATTGAATCATTGAACCATTTGTTGTCATTTTCCATTTCTTACAACATTTTTTTCAGAATACAACATGGTTTCGATACAGAAATGTTGTAATTTATTTTATTATGAAGTTACAGTTTTCATAAAATCCACTAGAAACATTTTATTCTACATACATGTATATCATCTTATACTGGCCATAAATTTGCCTTTGTTCGATATTTAACTATCAACATTAGTGTATGTCCAAACGTTATTATACCAGCAATAGTTTTACTCACCTTATTCTAAAACATATGATTACCAATACAATAACTACTACTACCAATACTATCAGACAAATGCCAAGGATTATAGCTGAAATTAAAATGAATTTACAATTATTTAAGGAACATAAGCTACGAATAAGGCAAAAAGGTAAAAATAAGATGTTGTTTTGTTTCAAAAGTTTATAAAAGTGGAATGACGAAATAGTATTTCGTTATAAGAAGTCAATTTGTCCAATTTTGTCAAAATAAGCTAAAAAAATATCGGTGATGTACATGCATTATTGGCTTGCAAGTCAATAATTCAACTCATTCGAATCGGTATTCATGCAACCTTTTATATAACCTTTAATGGAGATGGGTTGTGAATGTGTTCAGCATGTTCATTCATTAAAAAGAAAAGAATGTCACATTGAAAAGTGAAACAACTTAGGGAGACATCAGGAATCGCCATTTCGTTAACTTATCCGGCCCACAAAAAACATTCTTATACAGGGCATTGAATTCATGTCATTTCCATCTGTGACGAAGCATCTGGTATTCAGATGTGCCACCCGCTGAACAGACACTGGGAAACAGGAGGTTATCAAAACAAACCTTTCCCTCGAAATATTTCTTGAGCTTGTTAGATAAGACTGTTTTACATAATTAAAATTAAGATATTTAAGACGTTATCATTACCTAAATTTGAGCTACTTTGTGTGCCTTGAGCCTCAGTCGAAGCCTTTACTATTGAGCTTGTTTGAACTGTTGGGTATGTAGAAGTTTCACCAACGCATTCAATGATTTTCTTGCCGTCATCTAAAAAATATTGCAATAATGGATTGTTATGTTTAAGTGCATGTCTAAAATTTTCAAAAATGATATTCTTGGAATAATACCATGAGATGTCTATACACATCAGACTTATCTCATCAATCTGTTTGATGTGTTTGAGCTTTTGATTTGTCCATTTGATAAGGGACTTTCCGTTTTGAATTTTCCTTGGAGTTCAGTATTATTATTTTTTTTTTTTTTTTTTACTTTTTTTCATGAAATGATATATTGCTTAATGTTTAAAAATTGTCTGTTGATAAAGGAACTGTTATTTTGTCTCGTGCATTTACATGTTTATGTATGTGCATTATGAATAAAATAAGAAAATGTGTCTGTAAAAAAGTGGATTCTTAAAATTTCCAAAGACTCGTATTGGAAAGACGTATGGAATACATTTATTGTCAATTGCATATTTAATTACAATGTACTTGGCAAAACTGTTGATGCTCGCAAAATTTCACAAAAGTTTGGTCTTGATCGCACTTGATGAGCAATATTCTAGAAAAAAAGTGTCGTCTGCACGTAAATCGGTATAACGTGTTCAAGTTTATTTGATGGACAATTAGGGGAGTCAAAGTACTGCAATCTTTTAATTGTTTTCGAAATATTAATAAAGTTTCCATTCCAATAAACCTTCTTTAACTATAAACGAGTACTAAGTCAAAGTAATAAATTGATGAAATGTATTTTGTCCTGTTGATAAAGGACTGAAAATATGTGTATAGCGAATTTATAGCTCACCTTCTTCACAAACAAAACTCCTCTTGATGTCGCAATCTCCATTCATTAAATCAAATTTATTTTGATCAAATTTGACGTATTGACAATCTGATTTGGGTAACAGTTTTTCTGAAACATAGGATTTTACAAAATAATGATATAACAAGGATTAAAGTTCAAAAGCCGATAACATAATCACAAGACCATGGTAAAATGACTACAAGACAACTTATAAATAAAAAAAAAACGATATGTAGAAAACAAACAATTGGACATTAACAACACGGTTGAACTTATTAGGTCCTCCGGAAAACCTTTTAATTAGTGTACCTTAAGATTTCTTTTTTTTGTGTATTACAAGAATATAGCGACAAACGACATACTATTAAATGAAATAAGTTCTTTACGGATGTATCGTCTGTTAAACTAAAATATGGCTTACCTTTTCTGTACACAATCATATGGCTTATGCCACATTGTTCAAAGCTATTTCCAGGACAGTTGACGGCATCACAAGTTCCAGGAACACCAATTCCAGCTAGTGATTCATAACACATGCACATGTCGGCCTGCAACAGGACATTCAAATTGAATAATTAAACGGGTTATCAAAAAGTACACGCAAATACTATTCTTCAAACAGTATAAATAACACAACTTCAAAGCAGCAGCCCTAAAATTTCAATTTTGCATTAAATTTTTTTAACTTAAAGCACTATCTACAGATATTAGAGAAAACTTGTCAAGTGTTGAGATAAGAAAGTGTAGGAGATTTATTTTTCGGCTTCAATCATTACATAATTGATTCCAAAGCGTACAAACACAAACGCGTACACACATAACATTCCCTGACAAAAAAAATATTTTTGCAGCGAGTTCTCATTTCTTCCCTGTCAAGGTAAGACAGATCTGACAATTCATTTGTTTTTAAGTGTAATCTCAATTACAGATTTGTATTTGGATTGTTGGATATCACAGAAAAGACCAAATACAGCATATAGTACCTGAACTCCTATATATGTAAATGTATCAGATTTACAAAACGTAGCACAGTTGGCTAAATGATTGTCTTGAAATTGCATTTCGTTGGCTGTGTCCCTGGACAGAAAGCACCCTGAAACAGATAGGTTAAAATAATCTAAGACAAAAACCAAAAAATAAATCCAGTAAATGAATTAAAATAACTATCTTTTCACATGCATGTGTCATATTTAAGTCAATATATATATATATCAAACTTCCATGTGATATATGGCTCTAGCCTAGGAAAAGCAAAAGAACAACAAAGAAAGGAAACGGAGTGTGTGCATTGGCTGTATTGTATAACAATTTGGTTTTGGTAATATAGTTCATTAAAAAAAATATCAAGTTTAAAATCTTTGTTTTATTCAAAGTAATTTATATCGTTTTATTCCATGGACCATCCATATTTTCGTTCGATTGTTTTTTTGTTTTCCTCGTTTTCTTATTGTTCATGTATATAACAAAAATAGGGCAAAAGATTAAGCAACAGGACAAAATCAAATACGGGTGTGAACTCAGGTGTCCCCGAAATGTCATCAGTTCCTGCTCCACTAGTGACACCCGCTGTATTAAATGTGTTACTCCTGTTAAAATACGTTGATGATTCATGTCAAGTGATTATGCTTCTTATTATAGCAGATGGTGAATATCTAATTTATATTATTTTTCTATCAGCTTAATACCGAAAATAATAGCAATTGTAAAAAAACATGCATTTATTAAAGGTTATGTAGTGGAGACAAACTTAAAGACAACAAATGACTACAGTTAATGTCGACAACAGTAGTTTTCCTGTGTTCAAATCTCATAAATAGATTAAGAACAAACCAAGGTAAAACACAAATATTGAGAGAATCGCATGAACCCAAAATCGAGGGAGACCAGGTGTGTGGACAGGGTGAACATCTCCTATTGTGCATATATCACTCCTCATGCTAATCCACCTTCAGTCAAAAAGTCAATATGTACATGCATTCTGTGATGACAATTTTAGAAATCCGTGCATCATTTAAGGTAAACGTCTGTACGTTAGATTTCCTCTTGCAGTTATTACAGGAAACATATTAAGATGAGTAAACCTACCTATTTTCAGTAGCCATGGTCTGTTAGCCAATACATAAGATGAGTAAACCTACTTTTGTTCAGTAGCCATGGTCTGTAAACCAATACATACGATGAGTAAACCTATCTTTTTTCAGTAGACATGGTCTGTTAGCTAATACATAAGATGAGTAAACCTACCTGTGTTCAGTAGCCATTGTCTGTTAGCCAATACATAAGATGAGTAAACCTACTTGTGTTCAGTAGCCATGATCTGTAAACCAATACACATGATGAGTAAACCTTTCGTTTTTTCAGTAGACATGGTCTGTTAGCTAATGCATAAGATGAGTAAACCTACCTGTTTTCAGCATCCATGGCCTGTTAACCAATTATACATAAAATAAGTAAACCAACCTGTTTCCAGGAGCCATGGTCTGTTAACCAATACATTTGTTAAAGAACAAGCTATTACAGCTTCAATAAGTTCTTTGGAATAACCAAGTAATACAGCTCCATTGGTCTCACAATAAACTTCAGCATTATTCTTTGTGTCCGTTTTTTTATAAACTCGTAATGTTGAAAATATGTCTACAAGAAAAGTATTGTAGCAGGGTAACTGCTGTAAGTTTATACAAAACACATATTAATTCTTACACAAGATGTCTTCTACAAATATAAGGAGCAAAGACAGTGATTACGAGCAAGCAATGGCTTCAGTCTTTAATTATCCGTATATGAACTTATGGTACTATACAGTTTAACCGACACATGCACATGGACTAACGCTCATTAAGGGCGTATTCAAAGGTTTAGAAGGCCAAATATATAAATAAAATGCAAATGTATAGAAACAAAATAACCAAAAATACATGTATAGTTTCCACGATAGAGTCAACGGATTTCAATGAACTTTGACAGAATCGTTCAACCATAATGCTATTATGCACCTTCATTTTTTTTATTTCGATCTTTAAATCGGGTAGGCATCTTGTTTCTGCTACTCCTCTAATATCACTTACAATATGTCAATGAAACTATCGCAGAACATAATGCTTATTTGCACAAATTTTATTGTTTGATCCGAAATAATTTTGAGGGGTTTCCTAGAAAAAAATATACTTTCTAATTTTCTTTACAAATAAGGAGAGGGATATTTTTATATAGAAAAAAACAGGTGGTCGTTTATTTGTCTTCTTCAGCATTTAGTTAGTAGTTATATTGATCATCGATGGATTATTAATGGCATTTCAATTTTAGTTTGCGAATATGACTACAAAATGTAACACAACACATTTTCCCGCTTACAGCACAAAACTATATCTGAGTATTATATCTTAATCGATCCCAATAGATGACGACATTTCACTTTGTTTCATTTCATACATGTATTTAGACTTATTTGCAATTCTAAGTAGTCTAAAAGGTTTCCTTTTTACCACCTCCCTGAAGTTTTTGTACGATGAAATAGTCAGCTGGAAAATTGTGAGGCTGGTTACGAACGAATTTCTGAGTTTGTATATACGTTGTTTTTTTTCTGTTTTAAGTCTGTTACTTATTAAGTACATTTGTTTTTCTTTGTAGCAAACTTACTCTTAAAATATTCAAAATAACTAACATAACGCTTACCTTCTGGTACGAATAAAAGTAGAATCAATAATTTTATCATAATCACTTCAATAAACAGATTTTTCATAAGAACTACTATAATTTTACACATTTTCACTATGTCCACAACTTGCACTAGTTAGGGCCATCTTGCGCAATTGCCTTTTGGCTATTTTTGTTTGATCATTGCGTTGTGACAATATAATTGAGATGTTATCAATTTGAAAGTTTTTTTTTGAAAAAGCGAGTTCATTATTAAATATGACATAGGTATAACTTTGCACTTAATTTAATTGAACATTTTATTTAATGTCACATTCTACTTGTTTCATATGAATACAGCTTGTTCAACTGATATGTGAAAGTAGTTCGGAGCCAGATATTCATTGATTAAAGATCTATCGTGACTTGCTAGCTCGTCCATGTTTTATGCACATCAAAATCTCAGGTTTTATCTTTAACTAGATTGGATTGATTAGATTAAAACACTTGCGATTTCGAAAATTGTTTTAAAATCAAGCAAAAGACAACAACAACAAAAACATTAAATGTCTTTAAGGCCTATTTTATCAGATCTGGATAAATATTTCTTAACTAACTAAAGGCTAACCATGACAGTATTCATTTGATAGTTTACTATTTTATTGACTAGTGGTTTTGATTACTCCTAGGTATCTTTTTTCCGGTTTTACAAGACATTAGGAATCATGAATTAAAATAAAAGTAATGCAACAAAGACTGGTCAAATCGCAAATTATACAGAAAGATAGACATTGTACATAACACTATTAAATAATTTCCTTAAACCTTATTGTTTTAGTAGGCCTAGAAGTCCCGCTGTACCGATTGGTGGTAATTCGTTTTAAGTCTTATCCGATCACACTCATGAACACTGTAAGGCATGGTAAGATAGTGAAATCTTTGACTTACATATTATACAATATTGGCCAGTGAAGTCGTAACAACTTCATTTACATATGAATAAAAAGAGATACGTTAAGTGAAAGAAACAGCAATCGGTATAGTTACGGACTTTTAGTACGCATCTTACCTTATGGGAACAAATCTGGAAAATCGTGTCACCTAAAATAGGTTACAATTTAAAAATCAGAAAAATACAAATCCATTATCGGAAACAGAAGCAACATATTTTGTTGTAAATATTCGCTCTCAACCCTATCATTTGAAGAAGAGAAAAACGAGTTATTGGGGTGTTATGGGGATGTCTCCCATTCGTGATTCAAGACGGACAATCTTTAAATAAAAATATACCCGTCACAACCAACAGCCAAATACTTTTAACAGATGTTCTATTATATGGTTTTAAACTTCAATATTATGTCTCTCGTTCGATAAAAAAGTATCATTGAACACAATGAAGTACCAGACAGAAAATTTATATAGAAATACATTAGGCTAGAGTTGAAGGTTCTACCACTGCTGGGGGACTGTTAGTCTCCGATGGTATCAGCATCTCAATGGCTAGACTGGCTAATAGAGTATATGTAAGTCAGATGTTTCAAAGACCTTCTTATGTACAGTCACCACAAAAACAAGTCAGCAGTTGAATCGTTTAGATGTTTTATTCAATCTCCAATCGCCAATGTGTTGACCACCGTTTGCAAGTTCGTTATTTAACTAAATATCATCTCTGCTTGTCTCAGCGTTTAGCCTATTTTTTATTACTTTGCTTCAAGTGTGAAATATCTTGTAATAGGAAAAATGCATTTACTTTAGAAGTTCTTTAAATGCTTTACATGCACCTAAAATTGCTTTTCAATTCATTTTTGAAATGCAAATTCTTACTCATTATCAGATTTTCCCCATTTTAAGCTTGTAGTTTTCTAAAGTTCAATAGCACATTCATTTAGAATCTAGATGCAATCGAAACAACATTTAAAACAAAAAGATGACTGCATTTGGTTGATGTTTAAAATAGATGCTTTACACAACATCATCGAATTACCAAGCATTTCAAAACGAAATTACTCGAGTAAAATGTATTTGGAGAGATAATTTTATCATTTGTAGGTATAACAACATAGTTATATTATTCTTTTGACGACCAGGGAAGTTTCATCTAGGCCTTGGTATGGATTTAAGATGTCTTTATCTTCTTATATCTATTTATCGTTTGGCTGTCTCAAAGACTTCCAGTAAGAGATAATGTGATTTTAGTCAAGTCATTGTCCACTACACTCTAAGATTGCTCCATTCCACTACTTATCAATGGAAGTATTTGTACCATTCAGGAACAGTAATTTTTATTTGTTCCTTCATGCTTTCCATTTTAGCCAGTGCTTTGAACCTTCGACTTTGACATCCTTGCCACTGAGAAAAAGTTCGGGTTTTTTTTAAACAAGATAATACGCAATGTTTTAGCAATATCTACCAAGTAGTGTGTTGGTTTATTGTATGTTCTTTTCTGTACGTTAAGTGAATCTACTGATTAAACAAAGGAGAGGGTTGAGATCTACAAAAACAAAAACAATTAACCCTACCATATGTTCATGTGCATGTCCCAAATCCGGGACCTCGTCAGTTGTTGTCGTATGTCATTTCTTAATATTTTGTTATTTTAAGACTTGGGTGTTGAGAACAGATCGTTAATTGTTTCTGTTTTAAGTTATTCACCTTTTTTAAGATACTGAACGATTTAGAGCTTGATCTGTTGTACATGTATATACATCTGCCTATTTTTGGAGACTGCGAATCAAAACCAGCTCATTAAAACGTATACTTCTATTTTAAAATACATTTATTATTACATCCTTTGTTTCAACTAAAAATGGTCAATACTACAGTTTTGAAAGCAGTGGCTGGACTAGGTATAACGTTGACTTGAAACCAACTTACAATGACATCGATCTTAATAACAAGATACCAAATTGAATATTGAGCATCAAATAAAACAAAAGAATATTAATACCAAACCTGCTAAGAACACCATACATTTTATCCAATATCATATAATTTTAGACTACGAAACACTTCATATGAACAAATTAAAAGCTTAATTCTGTTCTTCATATGTCAAGTCAACTAAGAAGAAGGCTAACTCTGATTGTAGATGGAAGAATCGTTTTACACTAATTCCGTTTCGATATTTATTTCTTGAAAATGTACACAATAACAGTGTAGGTATAATGTTAAAAGAACAAATAAATAAGTGCATTCAGATGAAACAATATACTTTTATAAAACTAAGAACCTCGTCAGTGGTTATCTTGTATCATATCTTAAACTATTTTTTATTATTTGGAAAAAAAATTGTGTTGTGTCTGTTAGACTTATTCTCTAACTTTAAAGACAAGGAAGCTTACCATTGTATAGACACCTGTATTTTGTTGAAGACTACTGTTGGTTATTTTTGTCGTTGTGTTGTTGTCTCATTGACAAACATTCCACATCTCCAACCATTCATATGCATCAAGAGTGATTCAAGACATAAAGTTATTACTTAAAAAGCTAGCGAGGAAACTTAAAGCTCTACATGTAAAATATGAAATAGTAATTAAAATATATATTTGTATATATTTTCTTTAAGAAAAATTTTAATGTAAAATTAAAATTTGATTTTTTTTTAAATGTTACTTTAAGCATGTTATATTAATCTTTTTACTTGTAACAATGTGATGTTTTTTTCTGTTTTCCCATACTTTTTAGTCAAATCAATGGGTAAAATAATGTAGATTGTATTATTGAATTTTTGTTTGTTTACTCTATTTGTATCAGATAAAGGTACAGCAACGAAAGCTTTATACATTTCACATCTACTTTGAAATTCACATAAATATTTAGAATTACTTTGTTAGAGTTGACACAGTGCTCATATGATATAAACAACTTCAGTACAAATTATACATAATATGTACACTTATGTTCATAAATCATATTCATATATAAAAGATAGTTATATAAAATTCAATGATGTAGCATTTGACTATCTGCATCTATCTGCTTTCTCGTAGTGCTCTTGAATATGGATGACTGTTGCAAACTAATATAATTTGTTACGTTTTTTCTCATTATACTTGGTATATATGAGATGATGGTGATATCCATTTAAAACATAAGGTTTCAAACATTGAAACCAACATTTAGTGTACTATCCACTCATTTCTTTCTGAGATTTCCTCCTGGAAAAGTAAAGCAGTGAATGTTAACTACTCTGAAATTTTCTTACTAAGTCTATATTGTTGGTATATCTATATTTCAATGCATAATTTTGTAATTATCTTAACATGCATGTATATTGCATTTTGTCAACAGAAATGCATGCAGATACATGCAAGATTACAAACTTTAAACATATGGTAACTTCCAGAGTTTTAGAGAGTTTTTATTCATTAACATTTTTTTCATAAACAATTCATATTTTGAATTTGAGTAAAACTTCAATTCTGTCTGACATTTACTTCATTGCAGTTTTCGTGCTACTTGTATTTCGATCAGATGAACTGGTATATATATGAATGCAATTCATGTTTATATGCTTATTTCTTTTCAGTTCATTATCATTGCGAATAGTAATACGAAATAGACAATATATATTCAGGATCTGCTTTTAAAAAAACAATGTCTACTTGCAAAAGTAACAATATATGATAGAGGTATTCCCGTAACAGTGTGGACAACCGTAGTACTTTTGTTGTTAATACTACTGAATCATTTACCTTTAAATTGTTTGTCGTCGGCTATCGATAACAATGATTTTACGCTCACGCAGTCTGACAGAGGCCCTCCAGTGGGGATTTAGATAAACACTAGTTACACATTTCGATACATAAAATGAAATTTTTGATCAAAACATTTAAAAAACGCAAGTAAAGAACGTTTAAGTATTCAATATTAATCAAAAGCACAAAGGTTGTTACTGTACTAGTTTTTCGAATCATTTGAGTCAGGCGTTGAGAACCTTTGGTGACCCCACAGTTTAAATGTCCATAATAAAGACGACGTGATAAGTGGGAGTTACAGACGAACGTTCACCTAATTTAACCCAGTCAATGGGAGACTTGAGCGCTCCAAAAAATGTTCTCGTCCACACTGTTATGAAAACGATACTAATATGAAAAAAATGTCCACCAGACTGCGATTAAAAGAATACAAATATACAAAACGTAGATAGTAATGAAAAAATACCTGTATCTTAGAAAAATAATTATCAGCAAAATTAGTAAAACCAATACAGCAACAGCTACTACTGCGCCGATAATGGCACCTGAAAAAAAGTTACAAAACTATAAAACACATTAATAACAGGTTTGTATGAAGAACCGAATAGCAGATAATACTTTAGTAAATAATCGTTTCCCGGGAAAGGGAAATAACAAAGAACAATAAATCACTTAAAGATTAATATCATCATTGTGTTCAATTTTATTTTTTATGTTATTACCTTTTGTTTCTGCTGACATCCCTGCTGAACTACTCATTTTGTTAAACGAACATTGTATATTTTCTGTGTTTCCCACTGTAAATTTAAAAGATTATATTAAACGGAAAAGCAAATCATATTAGATCAAATACGTTCAAAAAATTGGCTAACATTATATGTATATGTAGAAAAAAAACCGGTAAGGTGTTGCTCTTAACTATAAAAGTTTAACATTTAATACATGTATGTATCTAGAAATCACAGTTACTAAAAGAAAAACATTCTCCCAAATATTTGTTATACTAAATCATTAAAAAAAATGAAATTTAAAATAATTTCCAAACAAAAACTCAGACTTAAAAAATAAAGGAAAAAAGGTAGCTGACGCAAATCTTATTTGTGTTGACTACTAGTCTGAACATAAATGATTCTATGTAAGTAAATATTTAATGCATTAGTTGCGATTAAACAAAGTCAATATGATTAAATATTACACATGGTTTGCTTTTTTTCTTGTTTCTCATTGGTTTGTTAGGTCACGTGTTTCTGTAAATATATTTTGTATTTTTTCACTATTTTGACACATTGACTCGACGTTACTATTTTTAGATATGATATTGTGGTTTACCATCTATGTCGTCGGGTCTGCTGAGTACCGAACGTCACCTATTCCCGAATATGACTGTTTTGCCGAGTGTGAATTCGCATTGTTATACGACGTTTCTCGGTATTAATCCATCCAACATTCATGTATTTAGTTATGATGTTTCTTTTGTAAGTCTGGTTGATTATTGTGTTATGTCTTATCGTTTATGGTATAAATTCTGTATTTTCGGTACATTTCACATATGTCTTGTATGTCAGTATAGTCGAGTTACTCGTGGTTCGTCTACAGTGTTTTTGTTTCATATTGTTTGTTTTCAAGTGTGTTTACTGTTTGTTTTTACATCATCTTGCCTTATATTACAGTTATTTTATTTTTATTTTCTATATGTATGTAAAAGTTAAGATAATAAATCAGCTATTTCATTTATATGATTTTAAGTTTAAAGCTACTATATGCACAGGATATTTTTGTTTATACACAGTTTAGATTTATGAGAAAAACCGACATGGTTAGAAAATACAAATAATTACACCATCACAAACACAATTCCATTTAAATATTCTTGTCATGGTTAGAAAATACATAAAATAACACCCTTACAAACTCGATTCCAATTTTATATTCTTGTACGTGTCTACAATAAAACAAATCTGTTCTATTTTTAGAAATTTACCTGTGATAATACAAACGTCACAAAAATACGTCACTTTTTGTGGCGTTGATACATTCGTGTGACGCGCAGTTTATACTTCGTTTGTGGTGTACTGTCGTAAATTCATGGGTGGTGTCCGTTGTCATTCTGTGGTTTACATGTTGTAATCTACTATTATATTATTTATTTATGTATTTCTCTGTTCTGGGTGTTCTTGATTTGTACTGTATTCCTGTCACGTAATGTTGTCATTTTAGCGGTATTTTTAACATTGCCATATAAGCGGGAGGTTTGGCTAGCCATAAAACCACGTTTAACCCACCGTTTTTTTCTAAAAATGTCCTGTACCAAGTCAGGAATATGGCAGTTTTTATCAAATAGTCCGTTTCTATGTATGTTGGCGTTTGTTTTTGTTGCAGTTCAGTGTTTCTGTTGTTCCGTTGTTTTCCTCTTATAGTTGATGTGTTTCCCTCGGTTTTAGTTTGTAACCAGGATTTGTCTTTGCTTAATCGATTTATGACTATTGAACAGCGGTATACTACTGTTGCCTTTATCAATTGACTTCATGTTACTAAAAAAGTAACATCCAGTCAATAGCATTTCCAAAAATACTAACATCGAGTCAATTTGATTTTCACACTTATACTATTTACATATGTAATACTAGTATATAAATTAAGGACTTTTACTCAGTCAATACGTTATATATGGACCTGTTAGATTATATTGAAACTCGGACTTCGTCCTCGGTCAATATAATCTGAACAGGTCCATATATAACTCATCATCGGTCAATATAATCTGAACAGGTCCATATATAACGTATTGACCACGGCAAAAGTTCATAATTGATAAATAGATAAACAGAAAGAAGCAAAAATTGCCTGATTGGATCTGGCATTATAAAACAGACAACTTGAAATCATAACAGAATAAAAATGATTATATAAAATAATTTAAATGTTAAATATAACTGTAAACACACCTTTACATATAAATGGTTTTAAATCTTGACATTGCGCAAATTTTAGCGTTATTCCTCCTTCGGAAGGCTTCCTGAATGATCTATATCTGCAGAGCGCTCCAGTCATATTAACTATTGAATAAAACATAAAATCATATTAGACATAAACACTGTTAGCATACATATGTACGCTACGGAAGCCGGTTAGGGCCACGATGAACATAATTTTTGTTATTCCGACATAGGACTTTAAAAAAATCAATGTGGTCCTAACCGGCTTCTGTAGTGAGCAGAATACTCAAATTAAACATATATATATATATTAATAACTAGACGCATATAAAACTACGTAATACCAATACCAATGAAATACCAATACAAGTAACAGAAAGCTATTCTTACCCAAAGGCTATACAATCGACCAGCCTGAGGTTATTTGAAGTTGTAGATACAATTAGATAAAGACTCACTAGATTAGATTTTTCTAAATAAAACAACCAAAATGGCTTTGGGCGGGAACCCTTTTGTGTGGATGATACACAAGCTGCGAAAATAGCTTTTCATTAACTCGGCTTAACTGGTAACACCAGGTTATATTTCAACGCTACAAATATATGAGCATGTGGGCTTTGAATTCAAATACATTATATGACCAATATATAAGATTTGGATTTTGAGTTAATGGGTGAGAATCATGCTCCCAGTGCATTCATACACAGTCGGATGTCAATACAATAAACACACACGAATTTTTGTTTATAGAGAACTGTAAAACAGCAGTAAATTTTAAGTAAGACCAACACTTTTGCTCACGTTAAAAATCCGAACGGAGTCCATGTGTTTGCGTTGGTGTATCCGAACGGAGTCCATATGGTGTCCACGTGATCTCGTTGGCATATCAAACAAAGTCACCGGGCATATATATATATATATATATATATCACTATATAAACTGATCTCATAATTAAAAAAAAAAACATTTGATTTATCTTAATACCAAAGGAACACCTCCTTGGTTAGCGTTGTTACTGCACAGATACATCTACAATGTTTACAAGTACTTTAATAATGCATTTAAAATTCTTTTGTTAAAAGTATGGTGTCAATCATATAATTTTGATTGTACAAACTATTCATATAAAAACCGAAATCCTTACAAAACATAGAAAATGACAAGATGACAAAAGTAATAGCATTTAGACAACATAGTTTACCTTTTTCATATATGACTCCAGCATCTCCAACTGCACATCTTTCATTTGCATTTGCTGGACAAGTTGTTGACTCGCATAGTGATTGTACAAATATTGTTTTCTCTCCATAACATTGACATTTTGTTGTCTTATAAAAATTAATGTAAACATTATAAACCGTTAATTGATACCGAAATATTCACACATACATTAAACTTTGTATTTTTAGATTCATTGGATACTAGTTATTTTTCTAATTTATTTTAGCGACGACTGTTAAACGACTATTAGCTGACTCCTCTGAAATTTTTAAAATTCAGATACTCGTGCAGGGACGAGGCGTCAACAATTTATGGTGTATTTATTAAAACAAATTTGATTTTTTTTACAGTCTCGGATACAGTTATATTATTTCGGAAATAGTTTTACGTACTCGTATAAAATTTAAAAAATCACTCACAAATTCAAGATGAGAGGCATGTACTTTTGCTGTACGCAATCAGTACTGAGGAAAATTCTAAAGCATCAATTTACCCTCTTAGAAGTTTACCTTAAAAAAATGTTAACTTATTGCAATTTTATTGATGCATGCAGTGATCAGAATACGCATTTGGTAAATATAAAATTGAGGTTAAACACACAAGACTCAAATTAGTATAATACTTTGCATATATTAATAAAACGTATTTGTTGTTTTCTCATTTTGTTAACAGTTAACTTTCTGTTATAACATATTCTTACCCACAATCCAATAGATGTATAATTAGAATCGGCACAGAAATCAGCACAAATTGCCAAATGTTTATTTTCTTTTCCGTCTTGTGTCTCTTTCACTATATTTACTCCAATAAAACACCCAACTGCAATTCAAATTAATAAAAGAAGTTTGTAACATTTACTGGCAGTCATCTAAATCGCTTTTGTATTAATGTTTACTGTGCAATATTTTGATGTTTACCCTTTGACTTAAATATAAGACAATTAGGGTATACAAAAAAATATTGGTATACCGAACAAGTTTGTAAAACAACAGGAGATTTTTGTTTGTTGAAATAGTAAATGGTTATTAGGTAAACATATACATTTCGTACAATTTACAGAAAATGGTTTGGCCTTGATACCCCTCGACTGTGCGGGTGTTTAGATACGCAGCCGTGTCAAGCCGAAATAGGAATATTTAATCTGTGTTGGGAGAGCCCCATGCACTTTGCTAGTTGGTCTGTTGCAAGACAAAATTTACGCCCTCATTTTACAGTAATAGTTCAAATGCCACGTCCTCCATACCGGTCAACCCACTTTTTAGAACCGCATCACTCAGATTTGTAACAGTTGTTAATTTGCTATCGAAATGAATTAAATATTCATAAAATATTTGCTACTGGACACAACAATCAAGCAATCACTCATTAAAAATAGGTAAATTTTGATAGACAAAGGATTATTATATTCCTTGAAAACACTTACATAATGGCATTATGACTTCATGAGCATGGCATATGTGCCATGTCCCATTTCATATGTCGTTACTGATAGAATTAAGTGTGAGCAAAATATATTTCACTCTCCTCGATATTTTTTGGTAAAACATCCTACAAATTGTTTCTAGGTAATGCTGTTGATCATGCCGAAATATTATCGCTAAGATCTCAAAATGGTGCAACTTCGGCATTTTTGTTTTTAATCTTGCACATTTGAAACATGTGAAGGATGTTGATTGGTGGATTTATAATTTTGAATTTTTGAATTAATTTAAGAGCACAAAAAGAATAACCTTTATATATGTTCTTTATAGCTTGTTGTGCGGTGTGATCCAAGGCTCCGTGTTGAAGACCGTACTTTGACCTATAATGGTTTACTTTTATAAATTGTGACTTGCATGGAGAGTTGTCTCATTGGCACTCATACCACATCTTCTTATATCTATTTATAAAAACAGAAGTGATACTCATGAAATTAATCATTACAGTCAGTATATCAAAGGTTTCCATCGCAACACCCCGTGTTTTTTCTTGCATGTTTACATTCTTTCGTTGTGTTATACGTTACCTCATATTTTAATACCAAAATTTCAAACATTTTAATTGCAAAACATGCGTCACTGCGTCGACACAACTACTGACATAAGGAAACTAGCCGCATAGTAGTGTTTTAAGTTATTATGATTTCTGTAGTTCTCACACTCACAGGCATACATGTAGCGGACTTAAAGAATGGCGGCTATTATACTTTTAATTGTTCTTTGGTTTACATATTTATAACATATTAAACGTATACCTTCAAATGAACATTTTGTTTCGAAGAGATTTAACCCAGCGATGGGTTGTACATGTAGTAACTGCTATTTTGCTACAGTGCATAAAATGAAGTAAAAGTATGTAGTATTGATGAAAATGAGAAAATAAATATATCATAAACAGTTCTTCGTTTAGACTATACAGATTTTTTAAATAGTAAACACGTTTTTAAAAGGTTTTGCCTCTAGACAGTTTTTATCTATAAATTTTTCACATTCTTTGGTCATACTTTGCCTTAGGTATAACCTAACTTATTCATTTCTGTATACTAAACAATCAAAAGTACAATGTTTACTACTTCAATACAATACTAAAAACATAAGGTATAAATATGACAATTAAAATGCTAACTGGTCCCATTGTAGGTATCCATAGCGAAAAAAGTCACTTACAGTTTGTACCATCATTCAAACTTGTTGCTAAGGTTTCTAAATAACTGTTTTAGGTTGGGTTTTTTTTTTTTTATTTCCATTGCATTCTTTTAGGTTTTTTTTCTGGTTTGTGAGATTTTTTTTATTGTTTTAATAAATCAAAGTGTCCAACATGATTCTTACAAAAGTATTTACTTGTATGAATATTTAGAATGTGCGCTATTTGAAAAGAAGTTTTTTAGTTATACGTTAATGTATATTGTTTTTAACAACTTATAAACAATTTCTTGAAGAGTTGCAGCAGCAAACAATATGTGTTCAAAAAAGGTGAGTATAACATTTTTGTAATATTTCGGGTCAATTTTCATGTAAGAACTAGCTCAAGAATGTTGGAGCTGTAATTTTGCTCTTGCAAATTTATATCATTACCTCGGTGGGATTTAAATTCGAGCAACCACAACACCACCTGCATTGTGCTCAGCGAATATGACCACTCGGCAAACAAGAGTGAATAGCATCCCTCGTCGGTTTAAGTTATTATCGATATGCTCGAGTACGGGTTTTTTTTCCCTGCAAATCATGGGCAAATTTCAAATAACTGTGATACCACTTGACACGACTTAAAATAACATGAAATTGTAAAATCTCAATGAAAGAGTCATTATTTTTAGCGGTTTAATGAACAAATGTAGGTTTCTTTTAAACACCTAAGATCTGTATGCTCTATTTATAAGAGAAAACTATATTTTAACATACCGACCTATCAAACGCTGTATAGTAAAATTAAAATGTTTTAGCTTTCTGGTTGGAAAAAAATAGTTTAATTGTACAGGGGAAACTCTTCCTTTAATCATTCTTACTTTTGAACCAGAACTCATTAAAAGTGTGCTACTGGAAAAAGAGCGTACAACAAATACATCGAAGATTATATCATAAAAAAATGTTGAGTTTCTTGATAGGCAACGTATTTGTTGAGTTTGGTAGATTGATTTCAATAGACGGTCGTCATTTTGCTGTTTATTGTAATAAATGCGTGTTTTTGTTATGCTTTTTTGTTATTTAATGTTATTCAGGGTTATATCTGGTCTATATACCAGCTTTGATAAGTGTTTGGTATTACTATAAATTTTCACTTCTTCGAACTATGAACATCAAAATTATTTATTTTGTAAAAATATTTCCTTTCTCCTTTTAAACTGTATACATAACAACAAAATTATTTTCATTTACCTGTGTATAATATTATTCAAAATGGCGGATTTTTGTTTAAGGTTATTGTTGTTTTTCTGAAATTGTTTAACATTTCACAGCGGTATAATACTGTTACTTTAATTATTCATCCCTTATTTTATTGATTTTGTATTTACATTGTATCATAGATCAAATTTATTCGTTCAGTGTATGTTCACTTGTGTTAATATGTCTTTTGATTGAGTTAAGCCATTTCAATTGATATTTTATAGTGTGTCTTTCTATGTTGTGATGTTACACTATTGTTTCAGATAAGGGTGAAGGTTTGATACCATTAAAACATTTAAACCCGCTGCAATTGTTTGCACCTGTCCTAAGTCAAAAATCTGATGTTCAGTAGTTGTCGTTTGTTGATGTGGTTCATAAGTGTTTCTCGTTTCTCGTTTTTTATAAAGATTAGACCGTTGGTTTTCCCGTTTGAATAATTTTACACTAGTAACTTTTGGGGTCCTTTATAGCTTGCTGTGCGGTGTGAGCCAAGGCTCCGTGTTGAAGACCGTACTTTGACTTATAATGGTTTACTTTTATAAATTGTGACTTGGATGGAGAGTTGTCTCATTGGCACTCATACCTCATCTTCTTATATCTATTAAACATAATTTTAAAATATTCTCTCTATCTATCATATTTTCTGCAAAAAACTAAAACAAAAAGAAGGTAAAAATTATTTTTCAAGGACCCCAATAAGGAATCGATCGACATTTTCGGTCATGTTTGATTTATTTGTAGGTCGTGCTTTGCTTAACATTAATGCTGTTTGAAGTTTCTGTGTATCTTTCATTATCATAGTTTCTTAATAAAAACTTTACAATTTAATAAAAAAATAGTCTTTCAAGTGCAATTACTCTTATGGGATCAATTGACGAATTCCGTCCTCATGAATATTTGTAGATCTTACTCTGCTGGACATTTTTGCTGTTTATAATTTCTCTTTGTCTATAATAGTTATCAAGAAAACAACCAAAAACTAGGAAAGGAGTAGGCCCAGTAAGACCCCTTTTTGGCCCCAAAATATTACAGTTTTACAAAATTGTTAAAATGTAAATTTTTAGCTATTTATTGGAAAGAAGAATACTTCTGTTATATAAATATGGGCTGTATTTGACAATACAATGTACATGTATCGGGTACTAGCATCATTAAGTCATGCTAAATTAATGAAATCTTCGAAATTTTAGCATTTTGGTTAATTTTTAGACGGTTTCCGTCTGAAATGGAAGTGGCCGCATTTGTGTTCATTCTTAATATTTAAATGTAAGTTGTATTTGATGATAATACATAACATATATAAAGGTTGAGAATGAACACGGATGCGGCCACTTTCATTTTTGACAAAAACCATCTGAAAAGTGACATATTATGGCATATTTGATAGATTTTTCATATTTAAGCTTGAATTTGAGCGTCCTTAATGACTAAATCAGTTCAAATCTTTCACTTAAACTAATTGAATCGAATGAAGTAGACACTTAAGTGTTTAAAAAGTGTCCAAAATGTTTCATCAAATGAACCTGAATTTTGAGGCCAAAATCGGCCCTTACCGGACCTACTCCTTTCATAATAAAAATAATTTGAAGGGCAATAACTCCAAAATGTTTTGTCCGATTGGTCTAAGAATTTCCTTACTTATAGATCTTAATGTTTGAGATATATGATGACTGACCGGTATAGAAAAAATACAAACTTTTTACTTGGTACCACAAGGCCCTTTGTCAGATCGACCCTACTTAAGCAAAAAAACAACAAATAAAAAGACTAAAGACACAAAGTACCGATCTGTGAGTACACGCAGCCACTGAAAGCTTTTTCAAACCCAATTACAACTAATGAATAAGTCATGTTTCCATACTAAAATATCAACGTTTGTTTGGTTTTTTTTTTGGTTTTTTTTTTGGTTTTTTTTTGGGGGGGGGGGGGTTGCTGTCTCGTAGGTTTATCCCAACATCTCTTATCTGTAAAATAAAAGACATCTGACAGTGATATATAATATATATTTAAAATAGCTTACTTTTACGGTTATACCATGGAGTTGCTGTCCAAACAAGCAGTGAAGAACAAGTTTCTGCAGTTTTAATGAGCAATTCTCCATATCCAAGGAGGTTTCCTCCCATATTTTCACAATACACTGAACTATTTTGGTATGTTTCTTCTTTTTCTCCAGAAAAATATACAGTGGAGAAAACATCTGAAAATATGACACAATTAAAGTGTGCTTAAGTAATCTTATCAAGTGATATAATTTATGATAGTGTTAAAGACAAATTTTGTTTCATTCAATCAAAAGTTAACTTTGTAAAAGTTTTGAATTTGCTTTCATATATCAAAAATTAAAATGTATTAAGCATTGGGTATCTATCTATTTTTTTTGCAACCGATTTGCATTTTGTATCGGTTTTGAATTTATGAAAACATTTAAATTTGACAAATTCATGTTAAATAACAAATCTTATTAGCCAAAGGTAATTATAAAAAATTCAAATAGTAAATAAATATTCATGGAATATTTAATAAGAATGGTTATTGCTGTTGTAATAAAAAAAAATACTAAAAGAAACTCACTTTTGGTGTGAAATGTGAATACCATGAAAACAAAACACTTCACGACACCTTCCATATTTCTATTTTATAGGGCAATAAAATCTGTTGCATCTCAAACGAATAAAATTTGTTAATTTTGAAGTAAATTGCGTACCATTAACATATGTTTTTGTCACAATCAATGTCAAGTATTTTCCTTGAGGATAGGAACGCACAGGATCTGATAAATATCCGTCATTAAACACTATGGTTCAGGGAAGAAAAATGTACTGATGGAACAAGATTAGGAATCTGTGAAATAGTAATAGAATCAAATTTTTATATATTATACCAAGCGAAAACATTTTGGAATTCTTTAAAAAATTTAACATGCACCTGTGACGTTAATCTCTTGTTCCAATGTAATTATGTGTCAGGAATGGAGTGATTTTAAAATGTTTATCTTCGATCATGCTCTTTGGATATTTCTACGGTCACTATTCCCAAGTAGATTTTAGTTATTGAATTTTTTTAGGACATCCTTGGATAACTAATAAAGATGAAAGTTTGGTTATAATAGGTGACTGCGTCAAAACTGTGAATGCCATAATCCATTTATGTATATAATTATAATAGGTTCTTTCTGAGAAACGTTATATTAGCCTTTTCCAGAAGAATCTTTATCGTAGTATAATGGAACCAGTTATCTTTTAACTATCTGAACTATTCTACGATCTCTACTACCTCCTTACGGTAACATCGGTTAGTATGACATGAATGGAGACGAACATTAAAACTTAAAACAGCTCATTAAGATGAAAATTTACGACATTTTTGCATAAAACAACTAAACCAGCAGATAGCATTATGACAGTATATATATATAAATGCCTAAGAATGTAAATTTAAAACGCTAATGAGAGTTATAAAAACAGTTGTTATATTTCTTTTTATTCACGCAATATTTCGCTAAAAACCTATTTTGTACTAACTAATATATATATATATACAATTAAAAATGAAAATAGTAGAAAAGCTGCATAGCTATAGCACATTACATATACTTGTCTCTCCTTGAACAATCAACAGCCTGATATATAAAGAGAGATAACTCGAATTGTTAACTGACCTTTGTCTGTCATTAACTTTCCGTGTTGTTTGTATTTGTTTATCTCCATCACTTGGTCCCTTATTTCACATTGTGGCTACTAGTAAATATATGACGTATTTATATTTTAATAATTTTTATGTTAATACAGGTAATCAATAAAAATTGCACCCCCCCCCCCCCCCCCCCCCCCCCCCACCAAAAAAAAAACCCCAAACAAAACAACATTTCATTGAAAAAGATTTGTTCATTTTTTCATAGAATAATATGTCCAATATTGTTAAGAATTCGAATGCATATACAGCATTAGTCAGCAGTGTAAAATTATAAGTTGTGTCTTATAAAAACTCAAAACAAAACAAAAATCTATCAACCTCACACATATTTACTGCCATTTCAACTTTTGAACAGCATCTCACGTATCTATATGCACTTTTTCACTTCCTATTGTCAATATGACTATGAAACCGGGAAAACAAGGTCTTTAAAAAATATGTAGTCTATTTCCAATCGGTCCAGTCAATTGCCACAAAAAATAGCCGGACATTCCAAGAACAAATTCACATAATTCCAATATAACAGATATTGAGATTTCCTCCTTAATATTTTAACTACAACTTTGTCATCTTTGTTTCATCAACATGCAGAACTAGTATGATTTAGTTTGAGTTTTACCTTGAGCCAATACCCCCTGTGAACGTAAAGGAAGACCATAATGGTTATTAATGTTGAAATAAAAAGGATAATGCAGTATTTTATGATTGTTATTCGTCTTGATTATGATATGAGCTCATACAAGTCCTTTAAATAAGATCTCGGGTTTCTATACAATGTTTATATTCTGAATTTTTCTTTTTTTTATTGATTGCAATTCAAAATATGAGACGAAAAACAAAGAAATGCTAAGTTATAGGATAAGAGCTCGAATATAAAAGTAAACAATGACATGGAATTTGAGTCCATATTCCTTATGAAGTTCCCGAATAACGTAAAGATTGATTGATTAATTTATTGTAAGTGTTTAACGTCACTTTCAACACTATTAGCCATATCGTCAGTTTTTGTTAATGGAAGAAGCCGGAGTGCCTGGAGAGAAACACCAACCTTCGGGACTAAAACTGACAATTCTAGACAATTAAGGTTGGAGTGTAACGTACCTGCCACATGCAGGGTTTGAACTCAGTCTTGACAGGCTATTGATACAGTAGATAAACCACTTATAACAAAACAAATAACTTATAACTTTCAGATAAAAATTAAGAACGTAAAGACAGAGCCATAAAATATAAATATGAAAATGATTTCACACTGAAATACGTTTTCATCGGGGTGAGATGGTCAATATGGATGGTGTGGTCGGATTTATTAAGTGGACATCTATTAAAATCATTCCAGTTACTTACTAGTAGACATGTTACGAAAAGGTATATACTCGACGCTGAGGTTGACAGATCGCTGAGGTTGACAAATTAGACTTTAAAAATGTGGGGACTGTGTCAAAACATTGACTATCGATTAAGACGGGTAAAATTCAATTTGCGTGATGTTAACCAGGTATCCTACAAATGTATACACTTCTTGGTTCATTTAAAATTACATTGATTTAGAATACTAGTTATCATTTTCTGATATCATTGCTTGTGATTATAGGGCGGGAAAGGTGTACGTGTGTGCGGAAGGATGGTGTCGATGGTTTTTCTAGATGCACTTCTGAATTTGAAAAAAAATATCACATAATAAGCCAGTTTAATTTTTTTATATTAATTACTGTTCCTCGAAGATATCAATCTGTCACTCCATTACTACACCTCGTCTTGAAAAAGATATTTGTCACTGGACGAAAAACAAACAACAATCAATCAATCTTTACTAAACCTGCACAAAGCTCTTCAGTCTGGTTGATTATTTTTTTTCGGAAATCTCCATAGGCTTCCAACGACTTTGAGAATTTTTAAGCGCCCAAAAAATAAAGCGTGTTTCACATATATCCGACACCCGAACGATAATCGCAAGTTCAGTTTTTACATTATATTCTTTCTGCTCTTGGTCTAAGGATAGCTCTAAGTTTATGACGCCTATTTTGGGTAACGAGAGGAATACGACATGCGGTATATATAACCTAAAATGACAAAAATGTCCTAGGAAGCTACTGGGTGTGAATCTTTTATGATACCTATTGTCCACAAAAAAACCGCGTATATATGCAATGCTGGTATCTGGAGTAAATTTGTTCCCGAGGCTCCGCGTGTAGACTGTAATTGGCATGAAAATTGCTGTCAAATGCCGCTAACACTGTGGTCTTTTAATGCCACCTGCCACGTAGTTGTTGCCTATTTTCTACGGTCGACTAAGAAGTATTTAGGGCATAGATTTTACAAAGAATCGGTATCTAAGCATGTTTTTGTGCACTCGTAGCATGAACAGAAACCTCAAAGAGAAATATGCAGGAACATGTATTTAGGATGTCAAACCATTGAAAAGCGAGTCACATTTTACATAGAACCCTTACAAAAGACATCTCAATTTCAGTGTAAACTTCTTTTTTCTTTTCGTTTTTTTTTTTTAATTTAGAGTTAAAGAAATAAACGAAGAAAATACACGCATTAGAGGGTATATGACTGGGATATGTTTGAAAGGCTGGTCAAACGGGTAAAACAATTTCAGACCTCAGACATTACAATGCGAAATGTTTTGAAACTTTGCATAACTATGTATAGGATGTCTTTTTCCAAAAATCCTCATTTCGTTGGGTCGAACCAGTCACATTTTACAAAAATAGTATAAGGGAAATTAAGCTATTCCTGAGTGAGTATTAACAGAATATTATGTATAAAATCATTTCCACGGTCTAATAAGCGCTAGCGAGGCCAGAGAGGTGTCATTTTGGTCATTTGTACAACGGCAAACTATATCCAAAATAAATCCATAAAAGGAGTTGCACAATTTCTATGTACATGTATATACATACCTTGTGCAAAGTTTAAAAGCTCCTTGGTTAGGAAAAAAGTTCTGACCTCAGGTAAAACACCCTTTTAAGTTAAATGATCCGTCGCTATTGATTTCAAAAACGCATAAATTCAAAATAGCAAGTACATATTGCTTTAATTAATAAGGGTTGGCGGGTGTTTGACTCCTTTTTCTCGACTTTCCTTCTCTCTTTTCTTCTAGATTTTATATCTTTTCTGCAATACCCTTGCCTCCTGTCAGTTTTCCAAAAGGAGAAAATATTATGGGATTTATCTTTTATCATTTTTATTCCTCACAGAATAATTGTTATTGAGGAGTATTTGTCATGAAATTGTCTATAATAAAGTTTTCAAAGGGACGTCTGGTTATGAGGAACAAATATACGTGGATATCAGCACTTTGTGTTTTGATACGATACCCACATTTGAAGTCTAATTTATCAACCTCAGCGTCGAGTATATACCATTTCGTAACACGTCTAGTAATTCGCCTGTGTGAAGTATATACGAGGCGGATGGATAGATCACCGGACACGTCTTTTTCAACCTCCAAACTGAAATAACTAACCAGAAACTCTCCTATACTACAGAACGTAGGGATAAATATAGCTTCGACCACTGCATCAAGTGTGATACGATAATTTTCACTCGAGACAGTTAAATTTTCGATTTTTTTTACCGCGAGGCTTGCAGAGCTTTCAAATTTTTAAAATTTAACTGTCGAGAGTAGAACAGTATTGTTTTGCACGATATTTGGTGGTGACATCTCTTTCTTTTATGATTTTTTGACAATATACAGACAAGTAAAATTATATCTTTATCTTTGTTTTTCAATGATCTGAAAAAGGTGTGTTCTTTATATGTGACGTCAACAGGTATGGTCCCCTATTTTCATAATATCAAAATAGAATTTTCAGAGGACAGCATGAACATTTGACGTCATAATTGAATTTTGACAAATGAAGAACTAAAATCAAACGAACCTCAAGTTGATTATATAAAAATAATCAAGTTGTCGGGAAAAATTTTACTAAAAAGGGTAAGAATTAGAG